AAGTAGAGCATTCAGACCAAGTGTATTGCTAATTTGAATAGGTGTTGCTAGATGATAATGACTTGGTTGGTATGTTCCAAGCAAAATTATATGAATATTTTGATGTCTTGATAAAAGTGCCTTCAGAGTACCCCAAAAGAATGGTGTACCATCATTATATATAATCTGTATCTCATCAATGAATGCATAAATAGTCTTTTCCCATTTACTGATTTCTGTCAAAGTATAATGAACTTCATTTTTCCAAAATTTGTCAAATAGGTTTTCATCATGTATTTCTGCTTTACCAGATATACCAGCAAGAGTAATGTATATACTATCATTACCACAATTTTCAAAAAAGTCTTGAAGAAGTTGTCCAAGGGTACTCTTTCCTGATGATGGAGGACTATGCAAAAGGGTAATTTGGTTACTTTCTATAAGTTTAGTGATCCATTTCAACCTTTCATCTGATATAACAGCAAGACTATCACGACCTTCTTCTGATTCTTCAGGATCTTTAATATCAAAAAGTCAGATATTTGAAAAAAGTAAGTTTTATAGAATAAAACAGGATTACTAGCCAATGCCACAAGAAGTATATATAATATACATGTTTGTTTCCCTTTCTTTCGACCACCAATTTCCTCATCTTCTAATTTTCTTTTTCCTAATCAGATAAAATGTCAATCAAAAGCAACAATGAAAAGTGAATGAACAAGAAACCAAGCAAAAGTTTGTAAATAAATAAATGAAATGGAATGAATGGAAAATAATTTTTTTATATTTTTTTACACAATTTGTTCATTACGTTCCCCTCCACCAAATTCTCTTAATGCCTTTCCCCATTCCTCCACCTGCTTCTTCCAGTCTTGCACATTCTTTGCCAACCTCTCCTTTAATTGCAAGACCTAGATCATGTGCAAGATTAGTAAAAGGTTGTAATCCTGTTGAGACCACTGACATCAATACACCAAAACTATAGATATCTGATGCCATTGTGTATGGTTTACCATTTAACACTTCGGGAGCTAAATATGGCAGTACTCCAACAACCTCATTTTTGTTTGATGTTTGATTGGCTGAAATTGATAATCCCATATCAGAAATAAATGAACCACCACCATATTGTAGAATATTGCCACTGTGAAGGTCATGATGAATGATTTTTTTTTTATGAATACTCTTTAAACCAAGAATAACCCTATTAATGATATCCATTTTCTTATTCCAATTTAAAGTATTAAAATTTT